CTTAATATGTTTCTTTATACTTCACTTAAGAGGCAATTTAGTTTTGCTTATGGTACAATTTCATGTTGGTCACAGTTTTGACTCAGATCTGTTTGGAGATTCTTTTATTGTGAGTTGTGTAGAAAAAAAACCAAGATGCTTTAAAGCCAGATTTTTTTAGGATATAAACTCTAATAGTTACCTTTTATAATGGAACTACATAAGACGGTAGAAATTATTGAAGGGTTTTAATATGATTCTTCTTGGAATCCAGGTAGTTTTGTTCTGAGTCCTTGCTAGTTTGCTTGCCTCGGTTATGTCCCAAGTGGAAGCATGTCACTCCATTTCCACTCCCTGATATGGTTCTGTGCATCCTGGCTACTGCTGCCTGCTCCGTGAGCTCTGCTCTATGCTGAGACCCTCCTGCCCACATCTTGGGGTCTCAGGAATCCTCCCTGCCCTGGACAAGCCTGGAGCTCCACACTAAGAGCTCATTGTGCTTCTCTTCAGGCTCCATGCAGGTAATGCACGTTGCACCATACCAAACAAAAGAAACATTGCCATCGCAATATTCAATCTTTGGATTTAGCTTTTAAATACAATTAGTTTATTAAGATAAAATAAATAATTGTAATAATACTAATAAAGTAAAATGAATACAACTTGATTTAATGGGAAGTGATTTGTATTCTTAGAATTACATGTTGATAGGTTTTTTTAATTTCTGCAAAGCTTACAGAGGGACCATTTGAAGAGAGTACAAATAAAGACTATTATCAGTTAATCAAGATAACATAATAACGCGTTATACTCATTATTAGGATTATGACTAAAGATTATGACTAAGTCAAGAAAAAATAGTCTGAAGTAAGGTGAGGTATGAATTTACAGTCAGGTAGAGTTTGTGAGTAGTTTTCCAAAACTACCAAGTTCAGTATTTGCCTTCCAGTAATACATATAAAATGCTAGGGGTTCTTAGAGAAGAAATACAGAGCAAGCCATAATATCTTGTTATATGTGTCACATTTTAAATCCATATATTGAATGCTGAGTACAATTCCAATTACTTCATTGAAAAGGTGATAGGAATAGTGATAGGTATGATGACTCTTTGTCTTGATTAAGAGAGCTCCTATTTTACAGATGACATTGCAGGCCTTGAAAAGGTCATTAAGAAACAGTAGTTTGTAACTTTTCTTGGTACAAGATGGCACTAACGAAAATGGCAAATTTTAGAAGAAAGGAAGTATTTCTTGAGACAGCACGTACTTCAATCGTGGAACCCATCGTAAGGAAGCTGGTTTAACCATTTTCTTGTCTATATTTCACTAGTCAATAAAGCCTTCAGAGATCTCTCCTGAATCAGAGTTGTATCATTGTTTATAAAGTTGTATCATGATTAAATAAGCTTACAGCATGTAATATATTTCTTCAAATGTCGTATATGCTTTTCCATCTCATCTACTGATGTAAATACTTATTAATCATTATACAAAATATAAGAAATGTAACATGCTACTTATATCATTGAAGAAGAGTGCTCTGAGTATTGAATACTGTTCTAAAGCATAATGTAATGTTCAAAGTTTGTTTTCTTGCAGTGTGATTGACAATCATTTTGATGCTGACTTAAGTTGTGTATTAGTGTCAAGTAATTGTTTGGGGAATTACAGCTGTCTTTCACATTAGATTTTCCTAGTTTAATGTTCAAAACAGAGTGAATGGAAAACACAAGGCAGAATTCTGACAGTGATAAATGTACTTTTAATGGCATGTGCAGGTTGTAAAATAATGCGTATATAAATACTTGCATTTTTAAATTAATGTACATTCTTGGACTTGTCTATTAAGAAAGATGAGAACATCGCAGACAATTCTATTGCTGTGTGAATGGGAAGTTCTTTACTTTTTTAGAAGGCTCAAGTGGATAAATGTTCAAAATAACTCTATATTATTTTTAATCAGTTATCAAAAGTGGTTTCCTATTAGAAACATGAAAAAGGAAGTATCAGAATAGGAAAAAATAAGTGCTAAGTGTGCTTTATTTTTGAACATTTTCACTATAGTTGAGCTCTCTTAATCCTAATGATTTTTGTGTTACTAATTATTTGTAAATTGAGATTTGTTTACAAGTCTTATTTTAAAGATAGGACTGTAAAATTAACACGACCCATTAGCGTTAGGGTTAAAATATTTTTTTCTTTTAACATGGAAAATATTACAGTCTTAATGCATTATAAGCTGTCCCTTGAAAAGGCAGAGTGGGGAACTCACATTTTCATTCTGTGCAAATGAGTGCACTGTGATATTTAATTAAGTGTACATGTTGGGTCTGCGATGTTTAAAACCCATCCTTGATACACTGGGCATATTTGTATTTTAAGCAGTTTTAAGAAATGTATAGTTCAATTAAAGCCAGATTTTGGAATAATTAAATGGGATAATTCCACACCAAATTTTAAATTGCATTCTTGAGTTAATGCCTATCTTACAGTCCTCCTTGGTATTTTGCAAAATATTTTTCATCAGGTTGATATTGCAAAGATAATTAAGGCTTATCAGAGTACCTGTGTTAATTAAACCTTATTTCTTCTGTTTGGACTCATCCTATCTAGTAATTGTAGCTATTTACCAATGAAATATATGCAAAATGTGTATATTTATTATAGTTTAATTGATGTGTTCTCTAGAATCACATAGAAGTCTGGCAGATTGAGGGGAAGAAAAGAGAAACAAAATGAAAGGGAGCGAGGAAGAGCAGACTGACTTGACCCTCCATATCTAGGCTGTTAAAGATGACACGTTTGTGTGGACTACATTTTGTGAAGAGAGATACAGATTAGGGGGTTTGAAAAGAGAACTAAAATGTGTTATCTTCCCACTCATGGAGATATTATTTATTATGAATCTATTTATGTTTTGCTGACAGAGCTGCTTATTAAGTGGGTTTTAGTTTGATCAAATATTGGTTTTATTGTTGATGTGTTAGAACTCTGTCCTGTGTCTTTTCCTTTTAAAATGTTACAAAAATCAATCAAATGCGTTGTGTGATGCTGTTAGATATTTCTCACATTTTTAAATGAACTGAATACTTTGAACACTCTCTATGCTGTGGTGAAGCATAAATGGCATGTCACTGTGTTCAGTATCTATTTTTTCACTAATTTGAAAGACAAAATGTTAAGATAATTTTTTGGTAAATTGAGTTTAATTTATACATTGATTTGTTTATAGCTGAACGTGGGCATCTTTGTTATCTTCATTTTATACTTAAGCAGTATGTTCGTTGAAAACCACTTGTTAAAAATATGCCTATATTTATTGCAGATACACTGCATGATCCATTTTGGGTTCCTTCGTTAGTAACCTGATGTTCAAGAATGAATACTTAAAAATACCATGATCCTTCCAGAAATAAATGGGTTATGAAGGAAAGCATGATGAATCTGGAAGAGTTATCTTACAAATTCTCTCTCCATTTTTCTTTATTTGCAAAGCTGCTGCATTAGTAATATAGAAGAAAATAGGACAGACATAAGCATTGCTGTAGTAATTCCCTTATCAGTGAAGCCCCAAATTAAACAGTAGCATGTTAGGAAAGCACGATTAGGTCTGTTTTGCACCACTTCAAACACTTCTTCCCAATGTGGTTTCATCTGCAGAATGACTGAGGTGCATATGCACTTTTCAGCTGAGCCATTTCATCACATTTAGCCTTATATATTGTGGCTGGAAAGGTAAAGAAAGTAATGCTTAGCCTCACACTGTGTCTTTTTCACTTATGAACCTGTTCAAGTCAGTCAGTATAAAGTTACAGGATGTTCAACTTTTATTACTTTGGAGATGAGTGAAATGCAAGAACTTCATCTGAAATCTGCTGAGAGCAAAGGAGGCTGATGGTTTCTTCCTTTCTTCCTTTTCAAACAAGTTTTGATGTCCATTGCATTTCTCTGAAGATACGAATTCTCAGGATCCTGTGTGTAGTTCATAAGAGGAATATAATGTGACCAGTAATGTGGAATTTTTTTTCAGGGCAGTTTGTAATACGAGGCTAGCATTTGAAATACTGGCAATTTAAAAAATAAATAATAATAAAAAGAGGGAGTTGATTTTTCTCAAAAGGTCCGCAGAACTGTTCAAAGCAGTCTGCAGTAAAAGGGCTAGAAAAAGTTCACCGCATATTTGAATAAATAAGCTGAATATTCAGAAAACAAAAACAAAACCCCTAGATATTAATGGAATACTTCTAGGAGATACAGCATAGCCTATATTTATCTCAAAAGTGCATTGAGTACATGTTTTTGTTCTCTTCCTGCTTGTGCCTTTCAGTTTCCCTACATATTGAATTCTCCACATACTGAAATTCGTCTGCTTATACTGGCCCAGCATTTTTTATGTTTACAGCAGTAAAATGATAGTTAAGCTGGTGCAATCAAGTAAATGATTGTTTTCACGTATTTTGAAAAGAGGGTGAAGGAGTCATTAACACAGTGAGTAGCTGATATGGAGTATGTTGTTTAAATTGTAGCTGTTTAAAAATCAAGTAGATTATCAAAAATCTTATTCATTTTCCTTTTCCAACTTACACAAACTCATTATGCATGCTGTTCATCAATACTTTTCCTCTTTAAGATGCTTATGTCCTCATCAGAAAGGAGTCTGAATTGTTTAAAGAGTGCTTTTGATTATAAAAACACTACTTGTAAATGATGTTAATTAATAAAACCGTAAATTTTCAGAATATTTGACCAATATGGGAGAAAAATGGGGAATTTTGAAATGCCTGGACAAAAGTAAGTGATAGTTAAGTCTGGTTTCACTTTTGCTGTTTATTGTGTGAGATTCAGTTTAAGATTGATGAATATTCTACAATGTCCTTAAAAATGTATAAAGTCTGTTTAACATCCATCTAATTGCATGGTAGGAAGGAAGTTCTTGAACATCTAAATGATTATTTTCTCCCGTTTGCCTCCTGTAGTGAATAATCAATAGTGTGCTTGTTTTTGTTTTTTGTTTTCCAGATAACCTTTTTCATGCTGCTCTCTGCAGTGTGTGTAATGCTGAATTTAGCTGGTTCCATTCTTTCTTGTCAGAATGCTCAGCTAGTAAAGTCCCTGGAAGGATGTCAGTTGGTGAGTAATGAAAAACAAACTTCTTCTAAAAAGGACAATATATATTATTTTTCATTTGTTTGCATTTTATACACATGTTGCTTTAATTTTCAAACAGTATGTGTTCTGTAGCCTTTACGATGTGACAGGTCATATTGGGAAAAATTTCAGAATTTAAGAGCTAACATACTTAGAATATTTTCCCACCTTAAAAGACTTGCTTCTGTTGTAGGCAGAATAAGTGAAATGCAGACCCATTCAAAGCAGTGCAGTGTTTGCCGTTTAATGTTAGAAGTGTCACAGTTGCATCCAGTGTCTCCTTCTATAGCTAATATATTGCATAGACATGCTGATAGTGATGTTTTACTATGTGTACAGTAATATTTTTTGAGCTACGTAAAGTAGTAACTTTATAATCACCAAAGCAAATGTATGTTAAATAAAATACAGAATAATAATTAAAAGTTGCCATAATATGACACGCTTTGAATTGTTAAAAGGTGCAGTATACCTAAACTCAGTGTTTTTGTCTTGTGAAAAAACACACATAGCCTGCCTGAAAACTCTAATTTAAAGTAAATATTAAAATAATGATCATTTTTCCTATGAATTTGGAAGACAAATGACATTAGATTGTAAGAATGATGAATGAGCTAGAGAATGTTTATGGACACGCGTCAGTGTTCTTTTTAATGTAATCTGACTGTAAACCAATCAAATTATCTAAACTACATGAGTATGCACAATATTGATTAAATATTAGGGTTATGCTTGTATTGGCCTTATCCTTTGGGCACACACCAAAATGTTGACTTGAATTATAAAGAGAAAAGTAATTTTCATCTCTAATGTCAGCAGGTGAATACACAAAATGCTTCTCTATCTCTTCTGTTCAGGCATTGTTTTCCTCGTCTGTTTTTTGTCCAGCAAATCCCTTCAAGCATCTATTTGAACGCAAAAGTATATAATAAAACAAAGTTAAAATAGGAAAATGTCAACAAATATTTTTGAAAGAGACATGAAAAATGAAGAATGGGAGAACATTTGGGTGTAACTTGTCATGTGCTTTTACTTTGTTTAGTCAGCTTTTAAGCCTTTATTCTGTATTCCTATCACCCATGTGTTGTTTCAAAGGAGTGTGTCTGCAGCTCTATAAATGGACTACACTTTCTACAGTGTATGTGGTTTCCAGCTCTGGTTAGGGTACAGGCTTTACAAAACCAAATGGTGGAGCCAGGTATCTGAATGTGTGGAAAACCAGCACTAACCCAAAGAGAGGCAGAGAGGATTTTTCCTATATTTATTTATTTTATTTTATTTTATTTTATTTTATTTTATTTTATTTTATTTTATTTGGGGAACTTGATGGGAGTTCCTGTTTCTCATTACTATGGGAATTTGGAATTGTGCTGCAGAGCTAGAATGGTCAACTCATGGAACCTGGAGGTGTTACAGGATGTGTACTGCATTCTGGAATTGTATTTTTTGAAACTAAGTAACATAGGTATCTTTTGTTGGGAGCTCTTTGAAGTGAGTCTTACTGTTTTCTTTTGACATCTCCGCTTTGATACTATTTTTAATTTACTTTTGGGGAGTGCGTTTGTATTACAACTTCCCATGAGGACTTAATGAAATGGCTGTGTATTTGCGTAGAAGAATAAGTAGCTTCTCAAAAGAACTGCATTTTAACCTGCAGAGTGAAACAGTTTTGTTTATGGCAGTTCACTGTAAGGAGTATATTGAATTTGTTTCTGGACAAAATGTTTGATATGTATCATTGGTGTTCTCATGGGATGCCATCTTGTCACATCTCGCTTATGGGAATAGCATGAAAGTCCTAAGGAAAAGAAAAGAACATAAATGTTGGAAAATAAATGGAATTACTTACGCTTTTCTTGCTCAATGGACCGTTCTTTGATTTGTTGACCAAAAAAAAATCTCCTAGAATTTCTCTACTCTTTAATACATGATTTCAGATTAGAAATGCTCTTAACTACTCAGGATTTTTGACATTTATTGCACTACAGTATTAACTAAAAAATTGTGAGTGGATATTATAAATAATGTAATAATGGCTTAAGGGGTCCATCTGAACCTTTGTATGGAATCAGCTGCTATACTGCTGAAGGCACAAAAGTGATGACATATTCAGCCTTCTTTACTGCTCCCCCATTAAAAAAAATGAGTTAGTGTGTCACTTCACAGACATATTTGAAGGAAAAAATGTATAGTAGGGCAAATTGTTAAAAGCTCTTCAAAAATGTTTGATATTGAAGAGGAATTTTATGTTTCATTCTGATTGTAGATCTTAATGTTTTCTGAATATGCTATATTTTTAGGACATCCTGATGTTTTGCAAGAACTTTCACATAAACAATTCTAACAATGTTTAAGAATTAAAAAGGGAGTTACAGAATCACAGATTTTCAGGAATTGGAAGGAGACCTCAAGAGATCAGGAAGTAGGAAGTTATGGAACATGTTTCAGAATGTATCAAGAATCTTTCATAAATGTTGGATTATAACCAAAGAACTACTTCTGTTTTCAGCCTTTTTTTATGTAACACCAGTTCATTACATGAGATAGAAGTAGAACTGGGATCTGTATTTTCTGTTAGAAATATCAAGTGTCTCTCACCTTGGGTCAGTGACTATTTTTCTTTGAACAGTGTCACCATGGATCACACGAATAAGCATTGTAGTGGTAGTAGCTTTATCCGAAGTTCAGAACTTCAGACAAAGTTATAAAAACTTTTGTGCAGCTGAAGACTGTATTGATCTGCCTGGTGCTGATATAGTATGTGTGCTGTAGCATTCTGACTACTGTCTTTGATGTAACTCTAAATTGAAAGTTCAGGTTTCAAACTTCCCCTGTGCATTTATCTGTCTAACAGTTTACACCATTTCTAACATTCCTACAGGGGTTCAAGAGCAAGACCTCCCCAATGGCATTTCACATTGTATTTTCTGTTGACTTGAGAAGCTGAAGTTGTCTGATTATAAGCCATAGTTGGGTTTTACTTGGATCTTTTGCTTTTTAAATGGAGTATTAAAATCTGACAAGTGTAAAATCTGAAAAAAACTCTGAAATTTTTAAAGCAGCTTCATGAATTGTATGCTAGTTAGAAATAAACAGCACAACTTCTTGAAGGTGTGCAAACTATGACTGAGGGTATAATCAGTCTGTGTGAGTTGGTGTAGTGAAGTATTTCCAGTGCTGCCATGTAGTATGTGAGAAATGGCCTAATTCTAATGCTCAGATAAAAAAAAAATAATCTTTTTTAGCAATTACACAGACTAGAGTGCAACCTAGAGTCTCAGGAATTGGAGCCCACTGAGACAGCTGTTATGCTTTGAGTATGACTTCATCACTGTGTATGGAAAGCATAAAGTTATCTGCATCTCATCTGGTAAATTTTGTTGATTTTTAATGGACTCTATTCTTTCAACTGCTGTTCTTGTTACCAGCATGAAAACAGAGAGTACTAAATAAGCTGACAGGAATGATAATAAATAAATATATATATGGTCTTAATCGTTACATACTTAAATATATTAACAATTTTAATATTCTTCAAAGTCTTATACAGTAAGGAAAACTTCTGTTGAGGTGATTCTACATGTATGGCTGTATGAGGTACTTCTGCAAGAAAGGCTTATACCATAATTTCTTTGTTCAGGAAATTGACAACACCGTAGAGAGTCATTTGAGTTAAAATAGTAAATGCACGTTTTCATTAGGAATTTTTTTGCTGGATTAGTGTCTGGAAAATTTGAAATACATTTCCCTTGTAGAGGAGTAAGTAACATGGTAGTTTAGATTTCTTAGCAGCCAACTATTTTGCTTCCATCTTTACTGAGAGGAATACAGCAGTGATTCAGGATGACTGAATAGTACCTTGAATCTATTATTCTTCGCATGGAGAGCTGTGGAAGTTTCCTGTGGGTGTCATTCTTAGTACACATTATTGGACTATAGAAACCTGGGATCCGGCATCTTAAAACTCGTAGGTCAAGCAACTCCTGTGTGATAAGAATTCCTTTTCTCAGTACGAACTATTCAGTCCTAACAATTCAGATGGAACTGTAACAAGTGACCTGGAGAGGCAGGAAATATCCATTTATCAGTCCTTTAAATAACTTGCAAAAATGGGAATGAAGATATCATAGAAATACCAAATGGAGAAAATAAGTGCAATGGTAATTCATGGCAGCAGGCTAGTTAAAAACCTTTCTGGAGTTAAATTTTGGCCTAAAACTCTTTGTTTGAAGGAGGCAGAAAAATAGATGATGCAATTCTTTCTCCCTCTCAAATATGGAATTCAAAATCAGTATAACAGTTTTCTTCATTGAGCAGGAATTTATTTTATAATCATGCACAGAAATCTAATAAGAGTCTAATGCTTAATGAATACTTAATGTATTCAGAACAAACCAAATTCAGGAAAACAGCGCGCAAATCTTTTCCAAAGTGGAAGTATGGAGTTATATTAACTCTTACTTTCTCCACTTTTTCTTAATGCTGTGTTCTCTATTCTTAAGCATGTCTTAGTTTGTATTGTAATTATTTTTGTATGTATGTGTAGGTATACGTGACATTTGTGACCGTGATTTTTTTTTTCTTTTTTCTTTTGTTAATCTTTCTCCACTGCATATGATTTCATGCATATTCTTTTGAGTTGAACTGTGGTTTCATCTGCCTCTGCAAAGCAAACCTTTTCAGCAGTCACTGTTCTTTAGTATTGTGTACTTCTTGTATTTCACCTGTTTTTTATAGCTTTTGTTAGCCAATGAATGACATTCTATTTTAGGGGAATTATTATAAACAATGAAATAGAGGTTTGCATTTTACATTTGGTAGTCACTGCTGTCACAATAAGTGTAAATAAAATTGTTGGGAAGTGTTCTTCTATTTACTGGCATTTTCTCTGACTTTTTTTTTTCCCTCCTCAGATTAAATTTGACAGTGATGGTGTCTGTGTTTGCTGTGAAATGCAGCATCAAACGTCAGGTTGCAGTAACCTTGGAGAAATGCTGAAACTGAACCCTCTGCGGGAATGTAATGCTGTGAGGTTGACCCTAAAGGTGCGTTATGAGAAGGATTAGCAGTTAATTTCAATTTTAAGTAGTAAGTTTGTTGCAAGACAAAAGTGTGTGATGAAAGGAGAAGTAGCTGGTGGTGTTATCAATGTTTGTATACTTACTCCTGAAAACAAACAAGGGAAAAAGAAGAACAAAAAACCTTAATCCAGTGGAATTTAATACTTAATATTTTGTGTTTCAGATTTATGTTGTGCATTCAGTATCTCTGATTTGCATACGTACCTGTTTTCATAGACTTTACTAAACCAGAGGCCATGCTTGCTTGTAGCTAAGACTGGAAGATACAAAGACAGACACTTTCTGGTTGTTTCTAGTTGGAAAGTGCTGGTTGGTGTTGTTCAGTGATGTGATAGACTGCAAGAAAATACCAAGAATTAGTAAAATGTATTTCAAGTTATGTTACTTCGGCAGAGAATGGCAAGTGTTTTTGTGAGTGTGCATGCTTATAAACTACTGTCCAGTGTTATTAGAATCTTAACTCATACTGTGTTTTGTGTTGAAATGACCCAGGTAAAGAAGTTTAGGAATTAGGCTGTAGATTGAGGCCTGGAAATTCAAAATTGTGTTTATATTTGAAGCAGTATTTTAATGTTCAAGACAGGTGTAAGTCCTGCAAAAGGAACTGTAATAAGCAGCTAAATATTCTTCAGCTATGTTAAGAAAGATAGACAAGAAAAAGGACTGCTGAGTGGTGAGGATTAGATAGAAATTAAAAATCTGGTTTGCACCAAAGTAAATATTTGTACATCATGTTTTAATGAGGATGATGGGGGAAAAAATGGGAGCAAAATCCTGTTGAGGAGCAGAAATCTTGTGAGTGACAAAGAAGTAAATACTTAATACTGCATCTGACCAACAATGTTAACTATGATTTGGAATGCTAAATTCAGGACTCTATTCAGTGCTGTGGTACTTTAATATGAAGGAAATGCAGTGTTCAGTGTTTAACAGATGGAAAAATATTAGTCTATACAGAAAAATCTTACTAGTTGATCTTACAAAAGTGTAGGGAATATATGATTACTGCTGTATGTATGTCTGTAAAGTAAACTTCAACAATGGAGAGAAAATAACTGAATCTTAGAGGACATTGTCAGCATATGAAGTGTATATGACCTGCATTTACTGGAAATCAGGACAAGGTTTCTAACAACTACAGCAATAAGAACAGATGCACAAAATGTAATTTCTTGTAAAAACATACCTCAATCACTTACAAAGAGAAATTGGTGACATTTCTGCTTCCATCAGCAGAGGACTGAATTAAAATCAGGAGTTCCTGTGATAAACTTAATGCAGCATTAATTATCATCAGATATTTTCAGTTAAGAGAAGATGATAATAATGTTTCTTAAATCCTCCATTTTTAATTCTGCATTTGTTTACTTTGAGAGTTCTGTATTCCTGACAAATTTAAGGATTAGGAGCCTACTATCATGCAACAAAAGAAAAAGAAAAAAAAGATTACAGCATGTTTCTTAAATAGCTGACTGAGAAAAAGCTTACTTTTACTGTAATTTCAATTAACAAGTATGATGTGATTGTGGGAGAACACATTTTTTACTAGAAGATCATTTCTGCTCATTGTTTAGGGCATCAGGGGGAGAGAAAATGTAGAATACCAAAGTTAAGGTTATAAATCTTTATGAATGATGTTGCTCAAGTTCCATTCTCCATTTCTTTATTGAGACTTTGGGGAAATCTCATCTTTCTGCTGTGTAACCTGTGCTTTTTGATGATGGTAACTACAGGAGCTCCATTGTAAACAGAACAATGGCATGCATATCACCTGTCTGATCTTGTTCCCAGTAAGGCTTTCTTGACTGTCTCTCTGTTATCTGATCTGTCTGTGCAAGCTGACTTTATTCAAATAAAACCAGAAAAAAATGCAGGAGCTTAAATCTCCTGTACACATACACGTGTGCAGACATATAAACAAGCACGCACAGACGTAATTGTAAATCTGGTGTCATCTCTGGGTTACACTGCTGATTCTACCTCGGATAGTCCTAAATCTATTTCAAGATGAGATAGATATGAATGAGATACGTTTGGTGGTTATTCTTTTTTGACAGTGTTACAATTAAATAGGCATAGTGTGCTGACATATTATTCTGCAACGAATGTCTGTTGGTTTGTAGGCAAATTTTGTGGAACTGAGTTGTTCTTTTAACTTAATTACATAGTACTGTTCTATTGAATGTGATTTTATTAAGTAGCAATCACTTGACTTCAAATTTCAGGCTGAAACTAGAAGCCAGCTTTTTAGTACAGGGAATTAATTTTCCAACAGTCTTCATCTGTGGAAAGCATTTCCTTCTGAACTCAAAATATCCCGGAAATATTGAAAACATGCATGCAACAAATCTTATCATCTTGAGCTTTTGCTTTGAGAGGACTTCCAATACTTGAAGGGAGCATATGAACAGGAGGGGGAACATCTGTTCACAAGGGTGGAACAGTGATAGGACAAGGGGGAATGGTTTTAAACTGAGACGGGCGGTTTAGGTTAGATATTAGGAGGAAGTTTTTTACACAGAGGGCGGTGACACACTGGAACAGGTTGCTCAAGGAGGCTGTGGATGCCCCATCCCTGGAGGCATTCAAGGCCAGGCTGGATGTGGCTCTGGGCAGCCTGGTCTGCTGGTTGGCAGCCCTGCACATAGCAGGGGGCTGGAACCAGCTGATCATTGTGGTCCTTTTCAACCCGGGCCACCCTATGATTCTCTGAGAGGATGAATATAGGCATAGAGTATGGAATTATTTTCCAGTGTATTACTAATGTATGTTGTTTGCATGTAAGAGCATAATGTTATGTGGCTTTGGTTTAGAAATTATTTAGTGGGATTTTTAAATTACCTTAACAGCTTATGTAGTCCAGAATATTTGCAATTATGCATGCTAAATTATGAATATATAAAATATTTGCTTCCTATTTTACTTAAGAGCATTTGTAGAGTGGTTTTGTGGCTATATAAGCTAAGTAAAAACTATTTCCTTCTGTATTTTCAGCACAAATAATTGTTTCAGAACCTCTGAAATTAAAGTACAACATTAAGTAATAAAAGTGTTCTTCAGTTCTGATTCCATTCAGTAGAATCTTATTAGGGATTTCTGTAACAGGTTTCTTGCAGTTTTCCATGCAGATCTTGCCTTTAGTCTCCTTTGGAGCAGAATTTATTTTACTGTGTTTTCTGATGACCAAGTTTAACCATGTTTTTTTCCATTTAGAACAACATGGTTTCACTTTCATTACAGGATGACTCCTTAAATGTTTTTTAGTTAGGAGAACAGACTTATCTTCTTTGATGCTCCTCTGATTCCCTCTACAACCAAATACAAAGCAAAATTACTTTTCAAAAAGACTTTATAATACGTTTGAATTTGGATGAAGCTCAGTGGAAAAAAATAACTTTTGAGATAAGATTTTAAAATGCTGGAGTTATTCAAAGTTCTGTAGCAGGTAACTGAAACATACTGGCCACCATTAAAAATGAAGCACTTCAGGTGTGGGCTTTTGTGCTCAATAGTTGAGCTAAAGTATTCAGAAGTTCTGAAAAACAATTGTGTAACAGACACAATCTACTCATTCTTTTCCTTCTTGTTTATTTCTGTTCCTAGTTTATAAAAATGAATGAATATTGTTAGGAACTTCTCTCATAACTGTGACACTGCCTTTTTTCAATGACTGAAATCCGTTTAATTGTGTGCTTGTCTAATTAATTTATGGAGCTTCAGTATTTCAAGAGTATCTTAATAATGTATCACCAGTATTACATTTAACATAGGTACCTCAGTTGATGAAGGATTTCAAGCATGCATCCAAGCAGTGATGATCTTTTAGAGTTTACTTTTCTTAAGTAATTGCACTGTTTCTTTCAAAATATAGTAAATATTTTAGGCTTATGTAAAATAGTACGTTAAATTGTACCTTCATTCCATAATTCTATCTTATGAAGCCCTGGCCATTTCTCCACATACAGTTTGATGTGCATATGAAACTTGTATTTTTCTGTATTGTCTTCCTAGCCTTAGAGCAGTTGTTTTTCCTGCTCTTTTTCAGACATAACCAGTTAGAAAAACTGAAGTTATGTTTTGACTTAAAGGGAATGTTTTCATCAAATTCACAACTAAGAGAAGCACAGAGAGATTTGTTTAATGGGTGAAAAAACTTTATTGCTCATCATCTATTTTCAGGTTAACATGGTATTAAAAATGAAGTACCATAATTGAAGTCAATCAAGGAGAAAAAAAATCATCTTCACAGAAAGTGAAGCTGGCTTTAGCCCTTGATCAGAGTTAAAAATCTATGAGTTCAGGGCTACTGGTTACAGAGTGTCCTTTTTACACATCACCAAGCTTATTTTACTCCTTTTATTGATTATTGACCGAGCTCTCAGAAGTTCACAGAACTGAAGAGCCTCCAGAAATACCAACCTATTTCCCCAGGAAAACAATCTTCAACCAGCAAAATGGGTTCAAGTTCGATAGAAACTTGCAACTTCAATGGTGTTGTAAAGGTTAGAACTCATAGACAGTACTGTCTTTGTGTTATGTAACTAATTTTTTGGTTATATGTGCATAAGTAACTCAGTTCACAAAAAATAAAACTATCTTAAATCTTGTAAATAAACACACAGAGAGAAAATTGGAGATGAAAAGCCTTGATCTATATTTTGGTATCTTCTACAGCAAAACAGTTTTGAATGCATGATCTCAATTCTTTGTACTCAGCACAGGTGGATAACTTTCCATAATAGTTGGGAAAAAACAAGTACTTAGTAATAATAGTGCTTCATCTCTGTGATATCTTAGTATTTTTTAATGTTAAATTCTCTGGTTTGATAACAGTGCATGTAATTGAAAGTACAATTCATCACTATGATAAGAAGAGGCAAGGGAGAGATTGAATATTTAGCGAAGACCATATTTGAGTTGTTGTGAAGCTATCCAGAGGTTCTTGTTTCATGTATTTTCATTTG